GCTGCCGAGTCCACAGTTAAGAGTGTGAAGTTTAAAAGGCTGCCAACATTGGACCTGAACAGGACATGAAGTCCAGGACAGCCCTTGTCCTCCTGACCACGGTCCTGTCAGAGTCCACAGCTGCTCTTGTAGAAAGTCAAACACAGAACAGGACACCAGCTTTACCTCCACAGTGTAAACACCACAGAGAAAGTGAGGCCCGTTCCACGAGCCCCGTGTTTAAAGACTCGGATGTTGTTTCTGGTTTTTACGCAGAAGCGGTTCATTAGGTCAAAGGTCAACGTCACTGTTTATTCCTCGTGAAATTTAAGATTCTGCATCTGAAGATCAGAGTTAAAATGTGATTAATAACAGGGCTGGTCGCTAAGTTCATACGTGGAAGTTTTAGTTGAGATATTAATTAAAGGCCGAGGACTCCTTGAAGGAATGCATATCACCCGCAACCTTTCATACCAGAGTTATAAACCAACAGGTCTCCCCTGAAAACGAGTCCTCATGTCTCAGACTACCTGTATAAATAAAAAGAGTTCCAAGCTCAATCATCCAGGTGGATAAATCATCAAAAGATATGAAATCATGTCATCTGGACAGTTTCCTTTTGAGAGAAACGTTTCGTCTTTCATCCGAAAGACTTCATCAGTCTGAGGCCTGCCACCAAGGTCTGTCTTATAAATATCACCTCCTTGATGTGACTCAAGCCAGCCCTCTGTGAAATCCAAAGAAACTAGCTTGGCCATCAGGCCTAAACATTCGATTGCATGAATATCAATTGTTGTGGACGGATGGTCCCTTATTGCATGTGTAAAGATAGTTTATTGGAATTCAACATCAAACTGGCTTGAATCACATCAAGGAGGTGATACAGTAGTCTCTCGCTACTTCGCGGTTCGTTTATCGCGGACTCGCTCTATTGCGGTTTTTCAAAATAAGAGTGGACATGACACACAACTGGCTGATTGATGGATGATCTGCACGACTGGTATGGCATTTTTATTTAAAATAAATTATTTAAAATTATTTGGCATATGCTGCATCTTTGTGCAGCCCATACTGCAGGATAAGCTTCCTGCTGCAGCTGATCAGCTGTTTCTCAGTGCAGAGATGAGAGCAGCGGCTGAGAGGAGGCAGGGAGTTGAAATCATGACATTCTGTGCTCTTTTAGAGCGTTTAGTTTAGAAACATTGTTTAGAATATGGCAGGAGTGTGGGAAGGGTTTTAAACGCCTTGGTTTTTCACTTATCGCGGGGCTTCAGGGTACGGATTCCCCACAATAAACGAGGGACTACTGTATATTTAAGACAGATCTTGGTGGCAGGCCTCAGATTGATGAAGTCTTTCGGATGAAAGAAGAATCTCAAAAAGAAACTGTCCAGATGACAAAATATAACCCTATTTTTGGTGTATAAATAAAGATTAAATAAATAAAAAAAAATAGACTAAAACCAAATGATTTTATGTTGAGGGGGGATGGAGTTTTGATCAGACCTTTAAAATAAGATTATAGAGGTATTAGCATCCAGGGAAGGTGAAATTTTAGCTCGGTATCTGTTAAACGGGCTGAGTTACAGTCTTTTCTGTGTTTTGTAAGGATGCTTAGCTGTGGCAGCCATCTTGAATGGGCTTGACTGCAGTTCTCGATGATCATCCTTTGAAACACCTGTGCTACATATCTGCCTGAAACCTATTAATAATTATTACATGTTTAGTTTTCTCCTAAAACTTAAGTAAATGATAAGTTTTGTACCAAAATAAGTTTTTTTGTTTTCATACGTGCAAGTCTTAGCTGAACAAGATAATTACTGAGGTTGTTCCACCAACCAGAAAACAATTTTAGGGGTAAAATCTGGTACAACCTCTAAATATCTCATTTATATTAAGCTTTTTTTTTAAATCACATTTTAGCACAAGTTTAACCTAAAAAGGCCTCTTTAAAAGGCCGCACACAACATTTATCACACTTTGGGTGTTTGCTAAAAATGGCAGCAAATAAAGTATTTAAGACCGAGTGTCTCAGACTAAGGCAGGGAAATGAAAGCCTGCACAGTAACGGTCAATGATCTGCTGACAAAAGGAAAAATCTGCTGCTGTAGCTTTTGTTTGGCAGTTCATCAAAGAAATGTGTGCGAGTACCCCTCTGGATGGTGCAGCGATGGAGAGAAGACGGTCATAAATCCCATCTTTTGGTGCTCACACGAAGAGTTCAAGCCCAGAGTTTGGGATGAGTGATCTCTGCTGCTGCTGGAGAAAAGCCAGAGAGGTGCAGATGGAGTTTAATTACAGATTATTTTACTGTTCAAACCAAAACCTGGACACCTCAAGTATCTCACCTGGTGGCCTTTGTGTGGATATGCACACTGCCGACTCTGGGAAGTCCCGTATAATACTGACTGCTTGACAAGTGTCTCTGGAGTCTTTATCTTTTGTTGAACAAAACTCAAAACATTAAAACTCCTACAGCCCAAGTTGTCTGCGCTAAATCCATCTCATCACCCAATTAACAAAAAGACGTTCTTAGCCTCTTAAACATAAAGAACTTGTTATTCTGTGAAAGTGTACAAAAAATGTTTTTGGCAAATATTTTTTTAAGAAAATAAAGGGCTTCTTTAAAAAAACTCATTGCAGCTTTACAGATATTCTGTACAAGTAAAAACATCACAACATATCAGATTTTGAAATAAATAGCTTCATCTAAATCCAACAGCTGCTGAACAAACCAATTTTTTATATAAATTTGTGCTAAAAAAACAATAAAAAAAAAAAAACAGGAGTACAGCAATCTATAACAAGGGCCCAGACAAGCAGACCTTGTATAACATTTGACCTTGATTTGCGACCTTGACCTTGGAGATGGGCTAATGAAAAGTGTACTTACCACTCTGGTGATGATGTATATGTGTATGCATACCATATAATACATCCACTTTTTGAGAGGCATGTAAAATTAAAATAAAATACAGGATTCCGATAGACCTATATCTAATCTAACTTTCATCTCAAAAATTCTAGAGAAACTAGTTGCAGGTCAGTTGTGTGAACATCTACAAAGAAATAATCTGTTTTGAAGAGTTTCAGTCTGAGTTTAGAGCTCATCACAGCACTGAACCTGCACTGGTGAAAGTTACTAATGATATTCTCATGGCCTCTGACAATGGACTTGTGTCTATACTGGTCCTGTTGGACCTCAGTGCTGCATTTGATACAGTTGATCACAATATGTTACTACAGAGACTTGAATATGATGTTGGGATAACAGGAACGACTCTAAAGTGGTTTAAATCATATTTATCTGATAGATTCTAATTTGTAAATGTAATTAATAAATCTTCTTCTTACACCAAAGTTAATCATGGAGTTACTCAAGGTTCAGTGCTTGGACCAATACTCTTTACTTTATATATGCTTCCATTAGGTAAAGTTATTAAACAATACAGGATAAATTTTCAGTTATGCTGATGATACACAATTATATTTGTCCATGAAACCCAATGAATCCAATCAGTTACTTAGACTACAAGCATGTCTTAAAGACATAAAAACCTGGATAACCCTACATTTTCTGATTTTAAACTCAAAGAAGACATGAATAGAATTATAAAAACAATATTGGTTTGATAAATCTAACTGTAAATTGGACAAATACGACTCAGTAGAGAAGGCTGAGCACGCTTAAAAAATAAATACAGAATTTAGTTCACGGGAAAACGGTTGCGTTTAACTGCACATTTTCTTATTTTAAAAAAGACTTTAGGGTAAATAAGCCATAAAAACTAGTTTTCTATTGATCTACTTGTCAGCTGATGTTTTATCTTCAAGGCACGTGGTTTACATGCTGACTCGTGTTTTTTACACTACTTATAGATTTTAAATGGACCTCTTTTATATGATGATGTTTTCTGTAGAATTTAGCTCATAAGACAAATCAGGTATCATTTTCCTTTTTGTTTGTAAAAACACAAGATTTATTAAAAGAACGACAATATATACAAATATGTATAAATAAAAATAAAAAAACAATATATGCACAGCACATGTTGATGGAGGTAACAAAACAAAAAAATCAATATTTTAAAAAACAAACGCACAGAAATAGAAAATACAAGTGGTCTCAAACAGAAAACAGTTCAACTAAACTTGTTCTGTGATCCGCATCTTTTAAGTTTTTGTTTCACGGGAGCTACAAGTGGGACCTGAAAATAAATTAATCAAAGAAACATCAGTCGTGTGCTACTTTGGAAAATGCACCCAGTCTGCCATCAACGTTCCTGCTTCATTAGACTGACTGCGAGCGGATTATAAAAACCAACGGAGTGGTTTATGTGTTTTTATTTAAACGTTGTGCTTCAGTTCTGGTGATAAATCACAGCGAGGTGATAAATACAAAGCTGTTCAGACAAACAGGTGAACTAAGTGGCAACATGTTACACCTGCTGTGTGGAAAAACCAGCAGCAGGATTTGGTTTTATCTGGAGTAAACTACACTATAAAGTGGTTGTGGGGTATTTTTTGAGAAAGACGCTTACTCGCTTTCTTCTTGAGACTTAGATAAGAAGATCAATGCACCAGTCAGAGATACGGAGTTCATCTGGAGCCAGAGGCAGCAGGAGATAAGCTTAGCGTACAGTCTGACTGTCTACAAAGTCCATCCGCCAGCAACCTGTAATGGTCAATAATTAACAACTTATATCTCCTCTGTATAGAATCTAACTTTCATCATTCAGGCTTTGTGCACATTAAACAATCAAAATGTTTGTGGGTCATAAACGTGCAGCTTTAAACCTAGTTCGTTTTTTTTTTTTGTTTGAATAAACTTGCTGCTGTTCCACCAGGGCAGAAAAAGAAACAAGAATTAATCTCATGCAGCAGACTTTAAAAATAAAAAAATTACAAACAGAAAAGGTTTGAAATCATGTGAACAAAATCCAGCGCAATAAAGGCACGATTGAAAAAGCTACTTGAAATGTGCGCTCCGAGCCTTCGTCTTCATACCTGCGCTCTCTTTGTCACTTCTGCTGGTAGAAGGGGCTGTCGAAGCCGCTGTCCTGCTGCCGCTGTCTCAGCTCGGAGAACTGAGGCCTGGAACAGAGCCCCAGCTCGCGCTCACATTCAGAACCAGGGATGGGCTCTCTGTCCGAACTCTTCCTCGTGTGATGACTGTTTTCACTTGTCTTCTCTGGAACATGGTTGTAAACTGTTAGGTCAGAAACATCAGGAGTGAGACCGCCAAACTCCCCCGCTTTGCCGGCCGACCCTGCAGACACAGAAAAAGGCCTGACTGGTTCAACTTTCCTCCCAAGGTACGAGAGTCTGGGCGCTGCGTCCGAGTCACAGCTGGTCGCGCTCCAGTCGGTCTGTTTCCCCTCTCGAACCGGCGTCTCCTGGATGAGAGGAGGCTTCTGTCGCCCTGACTCCAGGCGAGTGTCGGCTTTATTGGAGTTCCCTCCCTGCAGGTTCCACTCCAAGCCGTTACCCCTCACACACAGACTAACAAAATCCACATGGGACTGAGGAGCGATGGAGGAGGGGAGGTGTGTGTGAGATGTTTGGGACTGTTGGTCTTTATCCACCGAGTCCTGCTGAGATGAACGAGTGTCCCGCTGGCTCCCAGGTTTAGTCCTAACTGTGGGTCTAGTTGATTTCTGTCCTGAACCAGCAGAAGGCTTTTCCCTGCGGGATCTCTCGTCTGGCCTGGTATCAGGAAGCTCAGTTAGCAGTGGTGGACTCTTACTGAAACCTACCGCAGCAGCAGAGGCAGTACCTGATGATACAATAACACAGTTGCACACCAGGCTCATCATTTCTGACAATAACAAACAGAGTAAAGCCGTTTTCTAAGTGACTCACTTGGTAAACTCCGATTCTTTCCAGAATTACTTTTGACGGACGTCTCCAACACTTTAGCCATGGCCGCCAGCTTACTCGCAGCATTCATTATTTTCTTTTCAGCACTGCAGGACACAGAAAGATCGATACAATTAGCGTGGAGAGCAATATTGAAGGAAGCTAACAAGTTCAGGACAATTTAAGCTTCTTGCCCTGTGGTCCTGCTCCCATCCTCCAGTAACTCCTGCAGACAGGTCAGATAATAGTGCCGCATCTTTCTGGCAGTGTCCTGCCTCTCTCTCTGCACCTCAGTGCGGATCATCTCCGCAGCGCGCTCCCGACTCTCCTGAAGGTAACGCAGCATGTCTCCTGGGATAGAAACACAGAAGAAAAAAAAAGATGTTTAACACAGTGTGATTTAATTACTATTTCATTGTTTCTATGTTTTTATTTTTGTTGCTTTTAATTACATCGTTATACTTCTTTGTTACTGCCTTGATCTTATTGTTAAGCACTTCAGTAACAGCTGCTGTTTTAAATGTGCTTTATAAATAAACTTGACTAAAACTTTGCTTTATTTTCGGGGGGGGGGGGGGGGGGGGGGGGGGGGGACTTTATTCAGACTGATAAGACCTTTGGAGTGAGGGAGTAGTGTTGAAAAAGAATATAAGGCTAAAACAAAGTGATGTAAATGTGTGAGATGCCCCACCTCTGATCTTTTCCACCGTCAGCAGGTACTGCTGCCTCATCTCCTCAAGACCTTGCTGTACGTTTTGTTGATCCGGCCTTTAATGTCAAAAAATGCATTGTAACTAAAAAACTTATGGTTTTCCACCTATCCTGATGCATGTTCAATAATTCAGGTAGAAAATTCAAAAAAAGTTAAGTCTGCTCCTCTGGACATTCAAAAAACAAAACAAACAAAAAAAAGTAGAAACATTTCGTTTTTCATCCAAAAAAACTTCTTCAGTCTGAGGTGCTGTTTTCAGCTCAGTCTCTTAAATAACACCTTCTCAGAGTGGATCAACCAGTTTTGCTGCTGACAACCAAAACCAGATGCTCACATGCTCAAGAAGGACCATCAGTCTAACAATGGATCATTAGCACACTTATGGCTGTTTGCTATTCACAGGGGGTTGAGTGATACTAGCAATCACAGCATTGTAAGAGGGGACAGTTGAACCTGGAGGCCTCCACCCCTGTTTAATGATGGATGATTTATTTTCACAAAGATGGCCTCCTTTAAGCCTCCAGTCCTGCCGCGTATGTCCGTTCACGCGTATGTCCGTTCACGCGTACGTACGCGTGTACTGTACGCAGAGGGTTCAGACATGATACTCCAGCGTACACCCCGAGCAGCTGCAGAGCAGCTTCACAGACTAGGGGCGTTTACCTTCGGGACAAATAGAGGTCGCCGATTGGTCATTTGCTGACACGCCTACTGGATTGATTGACAGGTCGGAAAAAAGAAAAAAAATGAGCGCTGGCAGCCTCAGCCGCAGCGGTGTTCTGTGTTTATATGTTGTTAATAAAAAGATCTAAAAAATTTAAAAAAACAGAGCGCTGGCTCTGCAGCCCACACATCAGATCAGCCCACCAGGAAATCTCCAGACCCTCCCGCAGCCACGCTGGACCGGAGTTTAATTCGCTCGTGACAAATTCCTCCATTTCTCACCATTTCAGTCATGGCATCAACAGAGGAGGAAGAGATCATTGCCTCTTGGCAAAGAAACAAAAGAAAAGGCCAGATCAGGGATGAAGAAGGAGAATTTAATACATTGGTGTCGCATATAAAACAGTCCGTCCTAGGGCAGTTTATTGTGCGACACCACGTACGCGTATGCAGTCGTAAAAATTTGAGCTTTGCACGGACATGCCCTGGGGGGTACGCACATACCTCTGCGTACGTACTGCGTACCTCTGCGTATGGATGTACGCGGCAGTATACTGGGAGCTTAACTCCTCTCTCAAACCATTGTTCCTCTATCAAGGATGTGAACATATTCATCCCTGAAAGAGTGACCGCTGGCCTGGAGATGAGTGTAGACCACAGAGTCCTGGCCTGATGATGTTGATCTTCAACTGTCCCCCTCTTACAATGCTGTGATTGCTAGTATCACTCAGCCCTCTGTGAACAGTAAACAGCCATCAGTGTGCGAATGATCTAGTTAGGCTGATGGTCCTTCTTGAGCATGTGAGCAGCTGGTTTTGGTTGTCAGCAGCAAAACTGGTTGATCCACTCTGAGAAGGTGTTATTTAAGAGACTGAGCTGAAAACAGCACCTGAGACTGAGGAAGTCTTCCGGATGAGAGACAAAACGTTTCTACTTTTTTTTTTGTTTTGTTTGTTTTGTTTTTTGAATGTCCAGAGGACCAGACTTAACTTTTTTTGGTTTTCCACCTATGTGTGATTTTAATCTAAAACTGGATAGCAAAGTAGTCACCAAATGTTTAGCTTGCTGCAAAGTCTGAGTTTCTTTTAAATGACAAAAAAAAAACAAGTTCATTTTTTTCTGGACTTTGAATTATTAGAAAATGTGGACAAACCCTGAGGATTCTTTGGCTTTCCTCACTTCCACCAGCTGCTGCAGATGTTCGGCCTTCACCTTCTGTAAGCTGCTGTCATGTTCATCTACAGTTCAGAACCATCAGATCCAGAGTCCAGGTTATTGGACACCGTGCTGACAAACGCTTAAACACAGTAAACAGCTGTACCTTTAAGATGCTGCATGGCGGTTTTGTGCTCTCGGATGCTGTGCTGAAGTTGACGGCAGGCTTTCTCCAAGTGCCTCTGCAGCTCCTGGTTCTTCTTCTGCAGTTTACCTAAAGTCTCTGAGCATTCCTTCCTGCAGTGAGGATGATCCTTCCTGTGAGGGAAAGAGCCTAGACATATTGGACAGTCAGGTCATGTAAAGACTGCACCGCTGTAAGTGATTTGTAAAAAATGAAGCACATCACATACTTTGCATGTTGTTGATATCTCTCACATGTTGTTCTTGTGGTTCTTTTAAGACGTGACTCAGCTTCTCTTCATTCACCTGTGGGAGGGTGAAATAAAAAATAACTCATTTTTCTTCAAAACAAAAGATTGAAATGTCTAAAAGTTACCCAGAAACTTGTCTCTTATCACATCATAAAAACAGTGACATTTATTTAATCTCGTTGCCACCGATCATTTTACAAGAGCAGCTCACTTTGTTCCACTCCCTCTTGGCCTCAGCCAAAGCTCTGGTCACCACGTCTCCACATGACGTTTTGATGATGCGTGTTATAGAAGCTTCTGATGTGGATTCACTGGATCTGCTGAGGTTTTCAGCTCCTTGTCCAAGAAGTTGTGTTTGAACCTCTGTCAGTGCGGCCTGCAGCTCTGCCATGAATTCATCTCTGATCTGCCGTCTCTGGGTCAGCTCTTTTTCAGCACGCTGGCGTTTCCACTCCTCCTCTCGAGCCCTCACAGTCTGCTGAAGCTTTGCCTCCATCTGCAGCAGCAGCTCCTTCCTCTGGAGGTCAGCGTCCTCTCTGGCTTGCTGCACAGCCTGCTCCAGCTGTCTGCGCTGCTCTTGCAGCTTGGTTTGGTAGGCCTGCTCGCTGCGGACCTGGATGACGGAGATCTCCTGCTGTTTGTCTCTGCTCCAAGCCGCTCTAGCTGCAGCCAGCTCAGCTTTCAGCAGGGCAGCCTGCTCTCTGGATGCTTGTTCCAGTTGGATCTTGACAGCTGCCATCTCCCGTTGGAGCGCCTCCACCCTCTTGGCTTCAGAACTCTGGTCCTCCTGTTGGTTTCTGCTCCACTGCTCCTCTGCCTCCCTCAGGGCCAGGGACACCTGCAATGTTTAAATAGCAATTCATAAACAGAGAGAGAGGAAAAATGGTGATGCTTATTTAAAAATTAAAGGACCCTGTTTTACTCTTTGGTTTGTATTTTCTTCTTGGAGCTTTTTCCATTTCTCCTTCTCTGCTTGGAATTCTGGTAATGAAGGCAGATCCTCAATCCAACGATTATAGGCTCGAGTTACAGCGCCTTCAACCTGGAACACCAGAGAAAGCAACATTTTAGAACAATACCAGTGCATCTTGGAAAGTGTATGAGGATAAAAACAAGATCTAAATATTATAGTGGTACATTGCCAGTTTCAACGGCATGTGTGTACGACTCACAACTGCTACACATAAAACAAATATAAGCTCGTCTATTGTTATAAATAAAATGTCAGTGACCTGCTTGGCCATGTCCTCCAGGTGTTTCTCCTCCAACTCTCTCTGGACTTGTTTTCTAGCCTCCTCCACAGCTTTGTGTTGCACTTTGTCAGCGTCCAGCTGCAGCTGCTGTTTCTGAGCTCGGAGCCTGGAGTCCAGCTCCTCAGCAGAAACCGTCAGACTGCTGACCTCAGACTCATCTGTTTGACAGGTCACCTCAGCAGCCTCTCTGCTTCTCTCTCTCTGAGTCTCCTCCAACTTCTGGACCCAAGTCTTCTCTCTCTGAAAACAAAGAAAGAAAAAATGAGTCTGGCTTCACATATCAATTACTTAAATAAAAGAGCTGAGTTTTATTGTATTTTTGTAAGTCATACCTTCTGCAGTTCATTCTTCCATTTAGCCTCAACTGAAGCTACATGAGAGACCACTTGCTGCTGGATTTCAGACTCCTTCTCTTTAGACCAGACTGCTTTAAGTTGTGTTATGGAGGCCTGATGCTGAGCCTCAAGTTCACTTCTCAGCTTTTCTACAGCTACATTACTTCCCTCTTTTATCAAAGCCTCGTCTTTCTCTCCGTTTTGAATCTTTTCCTCAAGCAAGCTCTTCTCCTTGCACACAGATATGTAACATTCCTGCACAGCCAACATCTTGTCGTTGGCTTCCGACAGCTGGATTCTGCAAAACCAAACAAATAAAGTAAATGACACAAAAAGGGTCCATGTTAGTAGTTTTTAACAAAAGAGCCAGAGACTTACTGTAATTGTTGAATCTGCTGCTGATGCTGTGCAGTCAGCTGCTCAACCTGAGCACTGTGATCCTGCATGAGTTCTGTTCGGACCCGGTTCACCACGTCATCCCTGTACTGCCGATGAACCCGGTCAGTTCTTGAGAAACATACAAACACTCAATAAAACCACAAAACAACCAAGTAAGAAAGCTCTGACTCTGACCTGCAGCCCCACCGTTCTGCAGCTTCCTGTTTTTCTTGGTCCAGCTCTCGGATCATTTCCCTCATCTTGGTGCACAGCTCAGAGTTGGTGGACTTCAGTTTCTCCTCAGTCTGTTGCAGCTCCTTGTTCTTATTTTCCAGCAACTACAAGTCGGGGAAAAAATACCAGTCTCATAATTTTGTAAAGGATAAAAAAAAAAAGTCATGGAGTATTATTAAACAATAGACGATGGTCAACCTCCACTTGTTCCAGCAAGTGCTGCTTGTCTTCCTGCAGGCTCATCAGTTCTTTCTGAGAGGCTCCAGTCATGTCTGGAGGGTTCATCTGGCTCGCTGCTTTGACCTGTGGTTTACAGAGAAAACACTTCCTAATCAGAGACCCCGCCAGAATTATTCAATCTATTATTTGTTCTTTGGTTTATCTTTAAATTTAGTCTTTTTTAAAGCTATGTTTTACAGAAAAACAACAGAGTGAATCTAAATGTTATCTAACTCAGCCATCAGGAGATGCTCTTACTGAAGAGTTGAGCTTTGCTTCATCTAACTGAGTCTGCAGCTCGCTCACTCGAGCCTGACAGAGCTGGAGCTCCTCCTGCAGCCGACTGATCCGCTGTCGTTTCCCCTTCAAACATCCGAGGCAGCGCTGCATCTCCACCTGCAGGAGCCCCAAAGCCTCGTCTTTGGGCAGCTTCGAGTCCAGCAGGTGAGCCAGAGCGGTGCTAACAGAAACAAAAGGAAAATATATATTTTGGATGGTTGTTGAGAGGTGACACGAAACTAGATGGCAACATTTCAGCGTGCACACGAACCCAGAGACGTAATAAAACCACAGTGATCCAAGCGTACCTGTGAAATGTGCCATTTTTCCCAGTAGCTTTCCTCAACCCCAGACCCACACAGGACTCAGACAGATGGTTCTCTGACTCACTGCTAAGGTCTAGAGAAACAACGCCATGTTTCACAGCAGACTCGTACAGAGTAATCTGCTCCTTCAGATCGGCTAAATCCTCCTGGAAGACAAAACAGAAACAAGAGACAAACAGCTACAGCCTTTGATTTAAGTAGCGTTTTAGAAATGTTTTCTAGGAAGCAAACCTGTAAAACTTTGTTCGTGTTTTCACTTAGTGCCTTGGCTGACTGAGCTTGTTGTAGTTTGATCTGCATTTGGCTCATCTCTTGCACAGAATCTGAAGAAATTAAAAGACAGTTCACAAACATTTAAACTCGTTTGGAAGTGAGCAAAATCAGATGTGGAGAAAAAACATTTAGAGCTCGACACAAGACAAATTCAAGCATTTTCAAGGTTTCAATGAGTTATTAAGCGTCACCAGCCCTTTACTGTTGTGCAAATATTTTAAAACCTTGATTGTGTTTTTAAAGAACCAAAATTAGTTTTGTAATCTCTACAGAAGAGTTAGAAATTAAAAGATTGACACAAAGATCAAAACATATTCCTTTTTAAAAACACAGTGGGATCTGCGTCCTGCATGAACAGACTGTGCTGAAGTCTTTAGACAAACTACAGAAACTTGAATAATTTTAAATTAAATATCAAATATCTAAGAAGGCTACTTTTTGGATTCTTGAGCATTTTTAATAAAATATTTAAAACCCAAAATCTAAATTACAATTTACCCACTTAGAGGGGCCATGATGCATTCAAAGGTACAAAGTTCTTTATTTACCATTTGTGCACAGACCAACAATCCAGGCACGTTGCAGTTCTTGTGTAGAGCTCTCAGTCAGAACAGTAAATAAATAAAATGAGAATAAAGTGGTTTATATCTACACCTTCCCATGTCACATGACAAGTGGCGTTAGGTGTGGGGTTATTATTGCACCTGATCCGTAGTTTGTTTTGCCATCAGTCTGACAGGCAGGGAAACAACTATTAAAAAACTTATACTATGGGTGATGATGCTCTCCGCTCTACTGTCTCAGGTTATATGAACATTTTTTGTGTGTGATAAGAGAGTGAGCTGGATGGAGAGTCCTTGATGATTCCTCCTGCTCTTCTTGGACAGCGCAGTACCGACATCGAGTCCATGGAAGGAAGTTTTGTCCCTGTGATCCACTCTGCAGGTTTTATGTCTCTCTGCAGTGCCTTCCTTTCTGCTTGTGTGGTGTTCCCATACCAGACATGCCTGAGGTTAGGATGCTCTCTCTCAGTTCCCTATAGGCCTGGGTGAGAGGGCGCTGGTTCAGACGTGAATTTCCTGAGCAGCCTAAAGAAGTGAAGCCTTTGCTGGGCTTTTTCCACAGTGGCTGTGGTGTTGAGAGACCAGCTCAGGTCCGATGTAACCTGCAGTCCCAAGAATCTAGGGCTGTCAGTCATCCCTACCTCAGTCCCTTTAATGATGACAGGCTGTAATGAAGGGTTCTTTATTAAATATAAAACCACAATAAAAAAAAATCTAAATGCAATTTCAAGCATTGTCCAGGACTTTAACCAAAACCTCTGTCCATTTATGAACTTTTAAACCCCTACATTAAAATTCAAGCATTTTCAATGCGTTGCAGCAGCTACACAAACCCTGCAGTTTTAATCTACATTCAGACGGAACGTGGAGCCCTTCACTCACTTGTCTGCAGCAGCTTGGCACACTGACGCTGACTCTCCTCCAGACGCTGGCTGAGGGAGTTGATTACTTTGCCTCTCTCCAGCTGCTCTTCTTCTCTACGATTTTCCAACAGCTTCACTTGCTCTCGTAACTTCTGACCAGCATGAGTCTGAAAGCAGCAAAGCAAAAACCTCAGGAGCTGAAAACGCGTTCTGAGCAGCTCGCTGGGACATTGTAACAACACTACGCACCTGCTCACTTAAAGCCTGAGCGGTTGAATCGAGCTTCTGCTGTAAGGTCAACAGTGCGGCATCGTGCTGCTCCTTTATGACGGCGAGGTCTCGATCGTGCTGCTCCCGTGCTCTGGACAGCGTGTCAGAGCGACAAAGCTCCAGCATCTGCTGCTTCATACTGTCCACTGCAGCGTCCGCCACCCGTTGTTTCTTCATGTTCTGCAAACACAGTTCAACTGCTCAGTATGTGGGACAAACTGGAGCTTAAGTATAAGAAACCAGAATGTGTCCCAAAGCAACAGAATACATATTCAAATGTCCATTTAACTCTGTAACTGCAATAAACCAAACATGAATAAAGCAGCCACAAGAAGCCAGTCTTAAAAACAAAATGTTTCAAGCCTGGGGAAAACAGATTACCTTGAATTTGTTGAATAATTAAGAGGAGTTTCTAATCATCAGATAATAAAGTATCCATACAGGTGTGGTGGGAGTACAGCATTTACCTCCTGGTCTCTCTCTTTGAGGAGTTGTACTTGCTGCTCCGCTGCTTTAAGCTTGTTTTGTATTTGAGACTCTCTTTCCTTCGCCTCATTAATCAGTCGACTAGACTCCTTGAAACTCACTGTAAGGCCAGCCTTCTCATCTGTTGATCATTTTCCAAAAACAATGGGAAAATAAGAACAGAAGAAAGAAGCAGATGGGCCCAAATGTTTGTTGGTTTTTAATGCAAAGTTTGAAGAACGAAGTTATGGGGATTACTTTAGTATCAGATCACTGAATTATTAACAATCAGTTCAATGATACAAGGAGTAAAATAATCTAACGTCAAGATAAAAGTGTATGAAATGTACCTTTGACGATTGCAAACTGATGCTCGATGTATCTCATGTTACGTCGTGAGTCCTCCAGTTTTTGCTCCAAATCTTCAATTTGTCTCTTTTGAGCTTTATTTAAAATCTGCAGCTGGGCGACTCGCTCCCTGTCAGCAGTTCCTGAAACACAGAAACGTTGTTTGTCATCTATTTAAGCAATGTGAAGAGATTATCGGTTTCTAAAAATTCATGAGAGAAACTAAAAAAAAGAAAAAAAGAAATGTGTTTCTGTCAGAAAGGTGATCCTGTAATTTAAATGATCTACGGTGGGGGTTCACAGCTCATTCCTCCTGCCAATGAGCTTATTTTAAATAAAACTAGATGTTTATTAGTAAATTAAATGAACATAATGAGAATAATTGCTGGATGTCCATCCTCTGAGCTGCTGGCTTCCAGTAACTGTGGATCTCTCAGCAAGTTAAATAGACCAGTCATCAGAGATCAAGAACAAAACACAAGTGATGAAACTCACGCTGGGTCGAATCGAGGAACTCTCTTTGCAGGTGGTCAAACTGCTCTTCACGCTGAGCAGCAGAAGACTTGAACATCTGTGGCTGATGGACTGGGTGCTGAGGGTTAAAGTTAACTTTGTGCTGGTTTGCACCTTGACCACAGAGTCCAGAGTTTAAATTCTGAAAATAAAAATAAGCCATCATTTTTATGTAAAAATGTTTTGACTAAAAGGATTAGACAATAAAGATAAATCATAAAATCAAAACAGCTGACAAGTGTTCGGTGCTTTTATTAAACATTGTCAATAAGTGTTTTCTTATAAAGGACAGACTGAAGTCGGTCACAGCTCCTGACTCATCGTATTTATAGTTGATTATTAAAACCATTCAGAACACAGAAAATAATAACTACAAGCTGTTGGGGCAAATCTTTCAGCTGATGAGCATGTCACCTTACACAGTCAGTGGAGCTCAGGAGATGAATTTAGATGTAAATGTTTGGTCAATATTTTCTTTTATGGCTTATTTCCTTCTTGTTCTAATTTTACAGCAGTTGTCTCAGACACTGCTTAATCAGAAAACCAACTGAAGCAATAAGTCAACAATCACAACATCCAAAATAAACTGGGGTTAAAAGAACATCGAGAACCCTGCTGACAATAGATTGTTGTGTCAATAAACCACCTCCTTACCTGAAAATGGTTTCTGTTGGTGTGGTCCTCCTGAGGATGTTCACTCCTGTAGTCTCCGTCTCCACGATCAGGGTATGACAGTGGGTCAAACTCTGTGGAGAAATCACTGCCCTCTGGACATCTGTCTGAGCCGATGCTTGGGCACGGGTAACCTTCCTGTGCAAACTGGTGGTCCTGGTTCCAGGAGGGAGGGGGAAGCTGGGTTTGAGGGTGATTTAGGTGTCCATTAACATGAGCAGCTTCATCCTCATAAGGATAGCCTTGGTCATAGTCCACTTCGTAGGTCTTCTTAAAGACAATATCAGAGTTATTTTTTCTGGTATAGGTTCAGGAAGAAAAATCTATTCTGAAAACAAAGTTACTCTCTACCTGTGTGTGAGCGGTTGGCTGAGGGTGATCAGACCATTCCTGAGTCCACTTAGACTGTGGGCTGAGAGAAGAAGGCAGAAAAGTATCTCCGCGTTACAGTAAAGTACTTCTGTATGTTCTACATCAGTCCAAACGTGTCAGAATCTGGTACACAAAATAACAGCAAAGACTTTCAATGCCAACTACTGCTGTCTGATTTACACAAACATTACTAAAAAAAAGGACATAATAGAAACAGAAACAATTTCAACTTGTATTACATTTACCTATTTATAACTATTACTTTTATTTATTGTGACAATGATAGTGAAATTGGCTATTAGGAATTACTTTTCTTTCTATCAGGAGTTCATCTCAAGCTCCAACCCAAAGTGGGGTCTCGAGCCTAATTTTGTGAGCGGCTGTTCAAAGCCACACCCAGACTTCACATGTGAGGCAACATGTTAACAGCGACATGCGTTACCAACCTGCTGCCCGTGTTTTTATTGCTGCAGGGAGATAACTCCAGCTCCGGGGAGGAGCAGTCTCTGCTGTCCTCCAGCATGTCATCCGGCAGGTCTGTGAGCAGTTTGTGCAGCTGCAGATAGACGGCACTTAGAAATGAGTCACAGGGGTTGCTCCGCAACCAAGTTATAAAATAACACATCGCGAAAGAGTAACAGAGAGCAGAACGGTGGGAAGAAGCCGTGAAGCAGTGAGAGAGAGGAAGAGATTTGTTTGTTCACTTGGCAGCATCAAAAAAACAATAAGTAGTTTTTTTGCAATATAAGTTTCATTCAACTTTAGGAAGATAAAGCCACAATTTGATTGTACAGGGCAATATTTGGCTAATAAAACACTTCCACATTGACTTTCTTCTGACAGTTTGAACCATTTACTTAATAATTTGATTAAATTGAAACAAAAGAAGTTTATCAGTAGCAGTAAAAAACTTCAGGCTCGTGCTTCTCAAATACAAAAATTTGTGTTAACCATTCATTTTTTTTGTAATAAAGTTCTACTTAGCATCGAACAAACAAAATGTTGACCTAACACGTATTAGTTCTTTACATCACAATAAAAACAAGGCAAATCACTTTTAGTGTCAGTAAAAAGTGACCAGTCCGCCATGTGCGATGGAACAAGCAGAACCTGCTGGACTTACTTCCCACAAGGACCGCTGAATATTCCTCAGATCCTCCACTGTGTCCACAACCGAAGGACCCATTTCAGCCCACTTAAACACGCACCAAAAACATAGCAAACGGCTTGTTTCCAGTCACAAAGTCAAAAGATAACCACCACAGTATCCAAATCAGTCTGCTGAAGTGACCTTCTGCATGAAGCATTCAAAGCATGCCTTGCATGTGGCTGGTTCCCAGCGGCATCGCTGCTATTCTCTCCCAAAGAACTCCATTGTTTAGAAACAAAAAACATATAGCAAGGTTTACTGGAGCAGAAACATTCCAGTTACTGGTGGCAAGCGTTTTCCACTTCGCCAGTCTGCGCAATAAATAGGCTATAACAAATAAAAATATAATTTCTATAAAAAAAAAAAAGTGCTAATTTCTGAAGCATATTGGCAAATTGTTCATCTCTTTCTTCACTCTTTACCCAACTTTGATGGGCTCAGGTACAGAGGCAAAGTGATCTACATGGAGAAAGTAAGTTTCAGCATGACACACCTGCAGGGAGCCAATAATAACTCAAAGTCATGACGCGACAGGCTGAGGGCGTGAGTAACAGCGCGTGGATGTTTAACTGTGTGAGGCTGGCTGGGACGTCACTTCACTGCTTTTTCAAACAACTCCAGGAGTTTAGACCACAAATGAGAACCCGACAGATTTAAGGTCCTCAAATGGAAGAAATGTACAGTAATTATGTAAATAATAAATAGAAACGACTTTCACAATCAGCAAATAAAGGCATTAGTAACAAAAAAAAACCTCAATGCTTGAATAATTAAACACAAGTTTTAACATAATTTGGACATGTCCATGTCATTTTTATGCTAAATAACAAATATCTGACAAAATGTACTGACAGGAGTGTGTGTGTGTTAAACTCTTAATCATTATTTTTGTGATATTCTGTTTGCAACAAGCCAAACTTATTGTAATCTTTTGTATTTATTTTGGTGAAGATTTCTCCAGGTTATTCTTAGGACTCTGGCTGATTTTCATTCATTTTTTATCCAATCTCTGGACATTTTTTTTAAAGAAATGGTTTTTTTTTTTTGAGTGTGTTAAGTCACTTAACTGAAAAACTATTTAAGTTAAAAAAAAGGCTCCAAAACTCCAAGGATGAAATAGTGTCCTGTCAACAAAGCAACTTTGCAAAATCTAGGTTTTAAATTGGATCTTTAGCTACAGTATTTTGTTTGTTTGTATTTAGCCTGTCATTAAAGCATAATTTCTTTACATTTCTTTAATTGAGTCTATGACAAATAAAACAACTTAATTTGACAAACACAGCATAGTATATTAGCACCTACAAGGTGATTCACTAATATATATTAGTTACATCATTAGATACAAATCTCAGTTCACGTCAAGTCGTTTTTCCACCAATACCGACTTTATTGCTGATATTACCAACGGCTGTAGTTTTGTTAAAAACATATATTATCTTCCTATTTGCCTACATTGTAATATGATAATAAACTGAATTTAGGTACAAAAAATTGCCAGTAAATGAGTGACAAGCAGCCAAAGTCAGCCCAAAAATAAACTTTGACAGACCTTCAGAAAAAACTGAATAACTACTGATCAAGTCCATGTCTCCATGATGCTTTCTGAAGCAAAGTAAAAAATAAACTAGGAGTTGTTTACAACTTTTGCACAGTAGTTTACAGCATCTGGACACATGAATGAAGGCTTCAGCTGTGTGTTGCACCTCTTGCTCTCTTGCGTAGTCCTCCTGGTCGTACTCTTCTTCATCATGTTGAGTTTGAAGAGCAGCACTGTCAAAATCCATAGACATTTTGTACTTCTGCTGGGACACACAAATTATCGTCAGGTACCACTGAACACATTGCCTGACACTAGCAAGTAGTAAACATTTAATCAGATTAATACATAAATATAACTTACTGGATGGACTAGATTAGTAGAACAGGTCTTCTTTGTTTAGTACCTCATTGTTTATGAGTAACGTAATGCCTGAGAATATGCTAACAATGCTGCCGTTACACTAAACAAGCACAGCTAAATGAGCTAAACTAACGTTGTCCCGTGCTTATAAAATACGAAATTGTCACGGCTGAAAACATACTTGTCTAAAACGTAAACTCTCGCCGGTGAAATGTTTAACATAACTTTATGTGCAATTGAGCGCTGGTAAAATTCGTCAGGTAAAAAGCTAAGCTAACTGTGGGTTAGCTAAAAGCTAGCTAGCTTGAGTGAGCGTCGTCAAACAGACTCGCCCACTTTAAAAACTCGCGCGCGTTAGCAGCGCCAACCCTCTGCGGTGTTTTAATGACAAAAACGTCTTTACACAACAACGGCATCTAGCATATAAAAGTACCAGAAATTAAAAATGTCAATGGAAACAATTTAGCAATTTAAAATCCAGTTCATTCATCATAATAAAAAATGTTAGAAATATTTTATTTCCTGCTGAGCCAACCGGAACTAAGCGTCGGGATAGTCCCGTCGCCATAGTAACAACAACTATAAAGTTCTGGGAAATGTAGTTTTTGCCTTTCTTTTGCCTCTATCCGATATTTTAAAGATGTTTAAGTACTTTGTTTTTCCCTTGTAAAGACTTAAATCTAAAACTAACTTTTAAAACATCAAGAAAATCTTTAAGACTCTTTAAAAAAGAAGAAAGCTTTAAGAATCTGTTGGACTCCTGGCAGGGACCAATGCAGACATGTTCCTGTTTTTAATTTTTTACATTCGCCTTAGAATCTAGCTGTTTTTATGTTGCTTTTCTTTTTTTAGCCATCCTATTTGTTAAAAAAATCTGTATGACTTTTTGTGACTGTTTGTTGTTGTCGCTGTTGTCACCATTCTTTGTTAAATCAGGTCTCTTGTAAATGAGTCCTCAAGGCTCAATGGGATTTACCTGTCTAAATAAAGGTTGAATGAAAAAAAAAATATGTTAGTCACGAAACATTTGTTACGTCATCGTGAGAATTGGATGATCTATAGGCTTTAAATCTCTTCTTATGCATTTTTGAATTTAATTGCAAGGAGTCAGACTCGTCATACATTCAGTAACTGTATCACACAGAAATAAATGAATGCGCAGCGTCCTAGGATTCGTTTCGTACGGTGGCCCGTGAAAGACAAGCCTCTTTGCGCGCACTTCCTTACTTCCGCATTTAACATAGCAGCTGATCCCGAGTCAGTTCATTCAATGAAAACATGATATAAACATCTTAAAACTTTAATTTCTCAACTGACCTGAGTTCGTCCTCCTCGTATCCGGTATTCACGTGAGACAGTCAGCTGACAGGAGTCAGGCTGGGTGAAAACTTTCAGGTCTTTAACGACGAGAGCCGCATTACTTTGTAAAATATTTCTGGGCAGGTAAACATGACTATGAATCCACCCAAGATGAAGACGTCGATAACTTCTAATGAAAGGTGAGGGGCAGCGACAGGTGCTGATTGTACAGAGGTAAACATCAGATGTTTATTCTTGTATACAACTTATTTATTTATTTTGTCGTTTACAGGCTGAAAACCCTGAAAAAGGCTTTTGAAACAAAGTTTGGAGAATCTCCTCGCTTCTACGCATGTGCACCTGGAAGAGTTAATCTCATTGGTAGTTTAGTTTGAGTATTTTATTTATTTATGTGTTTTAAATGCTTTTAACATTTTCTGTTTGTACATTAGCCTCTGGTGATATGTGTATGTGTGTTAAATATATATATACACATATGCGCCATGTGTGTGCATGGCTTATATTTATTATATCCTGCTATTAAATATGAGACATGTCCTTGTAACTATCACACACAAAGAGTAATCAATGATTATGAATAGTACTGTAGCATTCTGCTGTGGTTAACTGTCAGTCACATGGCCTCAGGGAGGAATTATGGGTAGAATTTATGTTCATTGTTATTCATTTCGTTTGTCTGTTTAGCATTGTTCTTTTAGTAATTAGTCTGTTCTTGTTAGACTAGTTTATATGTTAATTCTGTGCTAGTTTGTGTTAGGCCATTCAGTAGAGTAACGCCATGAGTGAGGGAGACCTGTGTGGTTCACTCTGTTGTTGAACAGTAAAAATAAAGCCTATGAAACGCCATCAAGAGTGTACATCCCACTTCTGACACCAATGTAGTGTGGCATCACCACACAGCTCTGAGAGATGTGCGGCACTTGTAGTTCAAGAATCACACACCAAATGGTGCTCCACGGGCTTTATTTTTACTGTTCAACAACACAGACAGAGTGAACCTCCAGATAACTGCAGTTGTTACCTACCTGGATATCATCCAGGTAGGTAACAACAAAAAAAAGTTAAATCATGTCATCTGGACCAGTTTCTTTAAGTGAGAAACATTTCGTCCACCACGCAAAAAAAATGCATCCTTTATGATAGTCTATTGTCGTTGTTGTCCACTGCTGTCATCGCTGTTTGTTAAAATTCAGGTCTCTTTTGTAAATGAGTCCTCGTGGCTCAGTGGGATTAACCTGTCTAAATAAGGGTTGAACGAATGAATGAATCCATAGGACTTTGTCAGTCTGAGGCCTGCCAACCAGATCTGTCCCATAAGTAGCCTTCACTGCTGTGTTTCAAGCCAACCTCAACCCCAACAAGATGGCCATCTGGCCTCAAACATTTGATTGTACATGATGATTGATTGTTTTGGATGGGTGTGTTTTGCACGTGTTGAAAGTCTACTGAGATTCCAACAGGACGTTGGCTTGAAACACAGCAGTGAAGGCTACCTATGGGACAGATCTGGTTGGCAGGCCTCAGACTGAGGAAGTCCTCTGGATGGGAGACGAAACATTTCTCACAAAGAAACTGGTCCAGATGACATGATTTAACCTTTTTTGTTTTTAAAAGTTAATACTTCAATTGCAAAGGCATGAGTCATTTTTTCCAGCTTTTGTTTAGAAATATTTCATCTGCTGCTAAAATTTAAACAACAAACCAATAGAAATGTTTGTTAAAAGAAGAGAATCTACATTTTCTGGAAAAAAAAAAAAAAAAAAAACACAAAAAAAATCAGTTAGAATCTGAAAGCTGAGTGACTGATAAATTTGACGGAATAAGCTAAAACAGAGTTATTAAAGTTAAACAAGTAGTTAACTGAAAACTAGATTTAGCAAAATGTTATTTAAAAGCTAAACACAACTAAAGTAGTAGCTAAAAGTTAAATGTGACAAAATGCTAGCCACTGCCAAAAGTAGCAAAAGACTAGCTGATAAATAAGCACTGATAGACAGGAGCTAATATTAGCATCAGAGTAGCTAAAAACTGCATGAGGTTTACCTAAACCAAAATGTATTAAAAAGCTACAAACCTGAAATACGATAAAGTAGCAAAGTGTTGGGTAGAAACAAAAAATAGCAAAACTTTAGGTAAACGTAGCAAAGGGTTAGTTAAAAGTTAGCAACAGCTAGCCAAAGCTAAAAGTAACAAAATATTAAATGAAAAACAAAAGAATAAAGTTGCAAAATGGTTAGTAGGAGCTAAAAAAAAAAACAGCAACAGACAAGCTAAACACAACTAAATATTAGTTAAAAGCTAAGTGTAGCAAAAGCCAGAGTTAAACGTAGAAAAACATTAAAGGAAAAAGCAGAGGAATGATAGTTAGAAGCTAAAAGTAGCTAAAACCCAGCAACATCAGTAAAATGTTTGCTAAAAACAAAAAATAAGGAAACCGTGTACAGAAAAAAACAGTGAAACTAAAGAGTTCACAGTTAAATATAGATTCCTCCATTTATCTGTTTGTTTACCAGGAGAACACATTGACTACTGTGGATATGCTGTCCTGCCGATGGCCCTTGAGCAGAGCATCCTGGCAGCCGTTTCAGTGAACGATTCAGGGAAAATCCATCTGGCCAACACAAATCCTCAGTACCAGTAGGACACCAACACCTAGAGCTGCACTTACATTGTTGCTTGTGTTTACTTCAGGAGTTGTAAGCAGGTGGTTGTTGTGGTAAAGCTTGATGGTTTGTTGTTTGCAGGGATTTCACAGTGTCCTGCTCAGATGACATCATCATCGACAGCAACAACCCAAAGTGGTTTTATTATTTCCTCTGCGGGGTCAAAGGCATTCAGGTAAGATGTGCGAGTTATTCCACGACTAGAATCATAACCGTAGACATTCAAGTGCACATGTCGTGGGAAAACTTTAAAAAATATCTCATGCTACTTTGATGGGTTCTGCTTGCTTCCAGGAGACGTTTGGGATCACTAGTTTAGCAGGAATGTCGTGTGTTGTAGACGGAACGATTCCTCCGAGCTCCGGTCTGTCCAGTTCAAGCGCCTTAGTTTGTTGTTCTGGCCTTGTAACAATGGAGGCAAACCAAAAATCCCTTTCCAAGGTAAAACACTTCCAGATAACTTTGTTTATTTTATAATAACTTCAAAGAAAAAAATCATTACAAATAGAAATAATGTAGTCGTTAAAAAAGAAACTGACTTATTTATGTGCCAGCAGTCTGCAAGGAAGATAATTTGATGGAGAGTATCTTTGTTTTGGGAATAAATCTTAGAAATTTGATGCTTTTTTAAATCCATTCTTTCCTCCAGGTGGCTCTAGCTGAGATATGTGCCAAATGTGAGCGCTACATTGGGACAGAGGGCGGAGGCATGGACCAGTCCATCTCTTTCCTTGCAGAGAAAGGAACCGTACGCATCAGGGATCAATGTCACGTTTACCAAAGCCCTTTTGTTTCGAGGAATGCTCAAGAACGACTGATCGCTGCAGTTCTTTGCCAACACTTAAATATATATTTTTAACATTTTAAACATTTTGTCTGTCAGGCCAAGCTGATCGAGTTCCAGCCTCTGAGGGCCACTGACGTCAAGCTGCCAGAGGGGGCTGTGTTTGTGATTTCCAACTGCTGCGTTGAGATGAACAAAGCTGCTTCTTCTCACTACAACATCAGAGTGGTGGAGTGTCGCATCGCCACCAAGGTGCAGCCGTCCAGTCCGTTGGCTCTCGAAACACGATGAAACAATATCCGTATTTCGTCTACGTCTTTGTGATCGCAGATGCTGGCACAGGCTCGAGGTCTGGACCCGAGCAGGTTGTTGAAGCTGGTTCAGGTTCAGACGGAGCTGAAGGCCTCCCTGGAGGAGATGCTGGCCCTGGTGGAGGAGGTGCTGCATCCCGAGCCGTACAGCCGCGAGGAGATCTGCAAAGTTCTGAGCGTCACCTCGGAGCAGTTCTCCTCAGAGCTGCTGAGTGCCAACACTCAGCACTGTGAGTAGCACAAGGCGTTACTTTTATTTTATTACACCCCCCCATTGTTTAATAAAAAGTACCAATTTAGAATATCCCAAGTTTTAATGATGAAATGACTTGTAAAAACCAGCCTTTCTCTCCCAGTAACGCACTTCAAGCTCCACCAGCGAGCCAAGCACGTGTACGGTGAAGCTGCACGGGTGATGAGGTTTAAGAGCGTGTGCGACTCTGGATCTGCTGAACGTGTAGAACTGCTCGGGGAGCTGATGAACCGGAGCCACGAGAGCTGCAGAGACCTGTACGAGTGCAGCTGTCCTGAACTGGACCAGCTGGTGGACATCTGTCTGTGAGTACTGCAGAATATTTCATGACCTCCACTCTCATTTTAGACTTTTGTAATCAGTAATAACGCATTCGTTTGGAGAAACCTCAGGGTTTATTTGCAAAATGTTCAACATTTAAGCTCACACCTGTATCTAAATTACTTATACGAGTTTTTATTTTTATTTTATTTTATTTTAATGTCCTGTCCTGCAGTGTGGAATATCCAGTCCAATCCAACTTTCTTTATAAAGCACTTAAAAAAACCATGCAGGACCAAAGTGCTGTACAGACAAATTAAAAAGCACAAAAGGAATAAAATACAAGAACATTTTTGATTACAAAGACATAAACAGCTATGCAATAAAAATGTAAAAAATTCAGGGAGAATCAAATAAGTAACAATAATGAAATCGACATCTCATAATATATGATGTATGCTTGCAATAAAAGAAAATATGAAGTTGTTTTTTGTTTCCAGTGTTAAACTTTGTCACTCTTTCTGTCTGATCATATGAAATACTGTAAGGCTGTGTAGAAGTAGTGTGTGCAATGGATCAAACTAAAATCAAATTAAAGTTTAAATGAAAGTTTTATTAAAACTGAATTTTTATAGTCTTATTCAAAACAGCCAGTCAGTTTCTTAATTTAATTCATTTAATGCTACCGTGTGGTCAAGCTTTTAAATTGTTGAAAATGTCTTCACTGACCAACTTTAGTTTTTCTGTGTTTAGAGTGAAAAGTGTAAATGCTTATAAAACATTCACACTGAGGCTTTTTGTTTGTTTGTTTGTTTGTTTTTGGAACACAACTTGTTCTGCAATTTTTGTGCCGTTTTCGTGATTCATCCGTCAAAACGTTCAGCTCATTCAGGAAACTCCTGCTATGACTTTTGAGCAATTTTTACTTCGTGAAATATGTTCTGCTGTTCAGACTGTTTTTAATCATTAAAAAGAGTGGCTCTCTCTTCACATCCTTCAAAGCTTTTGTGCTGTTTAAAACCTTTTTCCTGCTCGTTTTAGCTTCAGCTTTTATCATCTGCTCATTTTAGCTTCAGCTTTTATCAGCTTCTTTTGACTCATTTCAGTATTCTTGTTTTTTTCAACTTTTTTTGTTGACAATGTAAGTTTTTTTTATGCTCCTTTCAGCTTCTTTTTACAAAATAAAGGTTTTTCTACTTTTTCAGCTTTTTTTAGGTATTCTGCTAATTTTACCCATTTTATGCTGTTTTTTACTAATCTCTGCCTTTTGTGTTTATTTCTAATAATTACAACTTTTTATGCTCCTTTCAGCCTCTTTATGCTAATTTCAGTTCTTTTTTTGTTTTTCAGCTACTTTTTTAATTTCGGATTTTTTGTAGTATATTCAGTCTATGCTTATTTAAGCATATTCTGCTTATTTCAGCTACATTCTGCTCTGTTCATCTTTTTTTTTTACACATTTCTGCCATTTTGCTTCTGCTTTCTGATTTTATTTTTCTGCTTTCAGCAAATGTCAGCTGTTCAAACTCAACTTCCAATAACACTTCAGCAATGAAAACGTTTCAGCCTTGTTTCAACTTCAGCAGCTTTCAGCAAAATCATTCACCAATAAGCATTAACACTTTTTCACAGGAAATGCACATTTTTCCAGTTAGCATTGTTAGCGTGCTAAGTAGCTAAGCATGATAGCGTTAGCTGTTAGCTCTGTTATTTAAATCATTTGTGTGTTTGAGAATATTTGAAAGCAACTCTACGGTGGCCCTCAGGTTTAAAACACAACTAAAATCAACTCTGCAACAATTAAATAATTACAGGTAAAAAAAAAATGTTTTTAAGCTTTGTCTGGTTTTAAAAGGATATAAATGTGATTATATTCAAAATAAATTTGGAAAAAATGTGCACAACTCCTGCAATTTTGGTATATTTAGCACTTTTTGGTTCTATTTTACTAGTTTGTACAGTTGTTTTTTTTTAACTTTTTGTTTTGTTGCATTTTCCTCCCTAGTTTTAAACCTGAGCACCGTATGCATCCAGTTACTTCATTATTACTGCCCAACATGCTCCAATCCATCATCTATTGATTCAGACTGTCTGCAAGATTCAGTAAAACTGTTTTCTGTGATAAAATTACATTTTATTTTTATTAACTTTTTTCCGGTTCACTAATTCACCCTCTTTAAATCTTTGATGAGACCTAACGTTACTGAAAGACGATGTCTGACTCTGAACATTCTGGTGAAGTATCGACTTGTCTTCTGCTGGCAGGAAGTCGGGGGCTGTGGGTTCTCGGCTGACGGGAGCCGGATGGGGCGGCTGCGCCGTCTCCATGGTTCCCAGTCAGAAGGTGGAGTCCTTCCTGCAAGCGGTCAGAGATGCTTACTACACTCCTGACCCACAGCGGGCGGCGATGGAGAAGCAGAGTTTGTTTGTATCCAAGCCTGGTGGAGGAGCTGCAATACTCCTGGAGGAGTGAAACACCTCCCTTGTTCTGTTTATATTCAAATCTACTGATGGAGGGAAATATGATCAGCTTATTTTTTAATTCCTATTAAGGAAAGGGAAATTTCTAATTTTTACTCCTTATACAAGAATACAAGAGGCAAAATATACTACATAGATGTAATACATTCTTAAATATGTTTGTGTAACAAATATTTTTGTTTAGCTCATTTCCTGTGAACAAGTACTGGTTGGGTGGTGGACTAAAACTATCGTTCTGTTTTGTATAAAACCAAGCCACTTTTATTAAAGGGTGGAGAATAAAAAGCCAAATTGTTTACAATAATGAATACTTTACACACGACACAATCAACAAGTTTTGGGCCATGATGTGAGGACTGTCAGGATCTGTTCTCGTTCACCTGGAGAGCAGCAGCGTGTTGGACCGAGACACGTTCTGCTGTACTGAAACTAACCGAGGCTGCAAGTCAGATGATTTCCTGTCACTCAATTCTGCTCACACACCTGCTGAATATTTGATGTGTAAGAGAGAAATAACTTTGTTGTTGTTTGTTTCATTAGAACCAAGTATGATGTTTCATCTGTGATCAACTGAATACAGTTTAACTTCCTAAATTAGATTTGGAGCCATGCATTCCAGTTCGACACATCTTTAAATGCAACAAAATCAAACTAACAGTTCACCAGAACTCACACAACACAGAACCAGTTCATCTTTAGCATTACAAGTTCCTCTTTGTTCCCAGTTTGATTAATGGTATTAAGATTGGTAAAATGCAGAATAAAATGTAATACTTTCTGAACTGCTGTCAAAGTAAAACTTTACAAATGTCCTGCATGATACAGATGAAAAAAGTTAATCATTTCTTTAATATAAAGTTTGATTTGTCTCTAGGTGTTTCACTTCAGCCTTAACAGTCAGTTCTGTTGATTCATACTAATAATAAAAACTGAGGTATGTTTGTGTTGATTTGAGTCTGGATCTTTTCAAATGAAGGACACAGTTTGTGCTTGGTCTGTCAGATCCATAAAGACGGGATCATTTACTGTATTTAGTCCCGTCTTCAAAGAGTTCCTTCTGCTGATGGTTTGGACTCCGGCTCAGGAGATGCAGGCTACTTCATTCTTTCTCTTCAACACGTTTTCTATCCAGATGGAGCTGTTCGCTGTCCTTTCAGGGGAGCAAGCAGACGAGACCGTGCTCGTCTTCATGTTTTTGCCCGAGGTAATCAGCTCTCCGTAGCCTTCTTGGTGGGAGAAGGCGTAGGCAGAGCGCCGGGAGCTCATCCTGCGCAGTCGCCTCAGGTTCTGCTCCTGAGGTCGCTGCTTCTTCCTGCACTGCTGCAGATGACGAACCTGTGAAAACACAGCAGAGGTGGAAGAGGTTTCTCACTTCCCTCACATAAATAAATAAATAAATGGACAATGTGGTTGGTATTAATTGTATATCTGGTCTAACGTGAGCTAATTTTACCTGCTCCCTATGTATCAGTTATACCTTATCTGTGAACGTTGGGAGGAGGTCCACTCTCAGAAAGCTAATGACTAGCCCCGGCACAACACACACCACAGTGGTGAGCAGGATGACCAACCACACACTCTTCTCTGAAAGACTGTTGCGAGCTGCGCCTGGGGAGAAAATTCAATTCAGTTTATTTATATAGCGCCAAATCACAACAAAGTTGTCTCAGGGCACTTTACAGGAACATACAGGGAAAAAAACTGAAGATATTTATGCTTTATTTTCACCCATCAATACCAATTATAACCTTGAGATAAACTCACCAACAAAAGGAAAATTACTCTGTAAAATAGCAAACAAGCCATCGCTTTGCATTGCAAACAATACGACGAAGTACACAGCGAGACTGCCCCCCACAAAGAGATGATTGACTGCCGTCCAGTAGTGTGTGTCAAGTCCAATCTGTCGACAAACGGCAAACATTTATAATCTCAGCCTTTTGATTTCTTTAACTCCACTTCAGTTTACTCACCTGAACGCTCACAACAATAACCAAAGTGGTTGCTATGGTGACGGCGAGCGTTTGCTGGTCTGAATAGTTGGTGCCGTCTTCTTTCACCATGCCAGAGAAGACTCCATAGGGGATAAAGAAAATGAGGAAGGAAGTGGTCATCCCCTGCAGGGTGCATAGGAAAAACTGTCGCTTGTTGAAGAGAAGGTTCTGCTGGCCCGGTTTGTAAAGGCTCGGGTAGCGAAGGCTGTTCTGATCATTGACGTCCTGTAAAAAGCAGATATACATGGTTAGGAACTGGGAATTTTAAAAAGCTCTTCGAGACAACAAATGGACTACAGAGGGTAATGCTTGAAGTATATGAGTTTAGAAGTTAATTAGCCTGCTTTGAAGTTAGATTTGGTTATATATGTGTAAGACGTGTATTGTTCCCCATTACGGAGCAAAAAGAGGGAATTGGAGGTAGCCTCCCTTCACCTGTGTCCATTTGTCCATCTGTCCATGTTGCTAGCGCGATAACTTGAAAACTAAGTGAAGTACCAAGTTCTATTTTGGTGTGTGGCTGCAGAAAGTTTCCTATCAAAAACTGGGATGCCACATCAAAATCCTCAATGGCCATATATCATTTGTTATTATTCATCATATATCACTATCATTTGACAAAACTATACTTTCTTGTTTCTTTAAAAGTATAGTTTCCTCAAATGATTGGAGTGGCCACCCCCTGGCTCCACTATTGTACCTGGTGCTGTTGTTGTTTTGGCGCATTGTTTTTGTACCATTAGTGCTTAGCGTATTCCTAGTTGGTGTATTCATAGTTTAGTGAATGTAGTATACTCTTAGTTCATGACATGGATCTTACTAATGTTTTTCTTTACAATTTGTGTTTTTGTTGGATGCAACTGGGACCCTGTGTACATAGTTTCATCCCACCTCATGTACTACATGTGGTGTGTTTGACAAATAAATCTCTGACTCTGATCAAATTGGTCCTTCCACTTGCCAGGATTTGTCACATTGTGCTTGGACCTTGGACAAGAAAAAAAAAACTACCTCTATTCATACACAATGTAACATGTACCCACTTGAATGGCGGGTATGGTTTACTCACATTCCATGTTCAATTCTTGTTCAGAAAAGTATTCATCACAAAAACTACACATATTTACTATTCAAATCTCTAGGCGATAGGGGACAGTGGTGTATTGCTCGTCTACCATGGAATAGTAAGTTCTACAGTAATGTCGGAGTCAGTTACTGTAAGTTTATGTGTGTCTATCTAGACAGAAAGTTTAACAGGAAAAAAACATGTAAGTGAAAAGTGTGGGAAGGCCACGATGTGCTTACATCAGTGCCGTACAACTGAAGGTAGTCATTGGGGTGCTACCCCCAAGGTTATCAGATGGATCCACTCTGCCATGGTCCACCCCATGCTATGCTACCCTGCTTTAGTATGGTGGGTCAGAGTCCAAGTCGGGGTGGCAAGAGTGATACTCACGCATGTGCAATGAATAACCTGCCTGAGCATCACAGGTTCCATTAGAACAACACCCACGGCAGCCCGTGAAGTCCTACTGGACCTGACTCCACTGGATTCCTATATCTCGGGGGAAGCCTCGTCCAGTGCGGTGAGGTTACACCAGTCTGGTGGTGGGTGAAGAAGCCTATCTGACTTGCAGAAGGTGGAGGGGTGCTGCTGATCAAGCACAACTACAGTGAGAGGGAGTACAGTTACCCACTGGGTGATTTTGCAGCTGTATCTCAAGTTGAGATACTGTATCTGCAATCCACCAGTGTGTGGCGCCTCTCAAAGACCTTCAGTGTACACAGAGGGACATTTTCATACTAACATGTAGTCAAGGTGTTATTAGAGCTCTCCAAGGGCCACACTTTATGTCATTACTGGTTTGAGAGCGTGATAACAGTGTTACTGTTAAATGGGTACCGGAACATTCAGGTATTAATGGTAATGAAAGAGCTGAATACCTTGCAAAAGCTGGCAGTACTGCCCACTTTAAAGGACCAGAGCCTGTTGTAGGTATTTCAACAACAGTATGCAGAACTGCTCTACAGGCCTGGATTAGATGTTAACACATTCAATCTGCTGGAGGGAGCTGACGGACTGTAGACAGGCACAGGAACTAACGGCCCAAATCCTATGTTTGGGAATGCTTTCATTGCCCTGACAAGGAAAACTTTAAGGACACTTGTTGGAGTTCTAACTGGGAACTACCGGTAACCACAATAATCTAAACTGCTAAACAGCCACAAAATGGTGACGGGACTCCATGACAATGGTCTGTGTGATGTCTGTGGCATTGTATAGAGACCTCTTTGCACTATTTAGACTACTGCCTGGCTCTGAGCAGTCAAAGAGAGAATTCTTTGGGAACCCCTCATGGACCATGAGAAGCTCAGTACACTGTTACAGATCTTGTGTCATTCATCTGAGGGACACAAATGTTTGAATAAAGCTCAGTGTCTTTTTGGGGAGAGCTAAGGGCCCAACTATGAGGCTCCTGCTCACATGGGTTCTTCATCCATCCTCACTTACCAATACCAAGCTTGTATTGATTATGGCTTATAATAAACATCACCTGATCAAAGAGTCCCATTGCCAGTACAGGTAATGATGTATACACAATGTTGAAGAGGGATATGAACCACTGGTCATACACAGTCTGTGGATGGAAAACGTAATTATTCATTTAACTTTCAAAAAGTGCACGTTGCAGATCACAGTCTTCCTACCTGTGCTGAGAAACCACAGAAGAAGCCATACCAGAAATGAACCAGGGTGAAGGCAAAGTTTTTGTAGAAGAAGTAGCTCAAGAAGTTGCACATACGGAAGTAGGACCAACGACCGTGGACCAGCAGCAGCCTCTGCAGGTACTGGAACTGAGCGAAGGAGTAATCCGATGCCAGAACAGCTTGCATCCCCTCCTGGCCACTGATGCCGACACCGATGTGAGCAGCTGAGCGAGAAAACACAATGTAGATCCCTGCTTAACGTCTTATAAAATATTTATTTTGTTCGGGGCACAAATTGCTTTATGGTTCAGTTTCAGTCCATTCACAGAGCAGAGACTATCGTCAGGTCTGAAGGTTGTCAACTCTGAGAAGTGTCTGCACATTATTGTGGGGGGGTTCAATAATCTTTAAGCAAACATCATTTTACAGACAAACTTAAAAATCACTTGTTCCTGAGAATTACTCTTAATCATGCTGACATCGTTGGCTCCGTCTCCTACAGCCAGTGTGACAGCCCTCTTGTGCCTCTTCACCAGCTCCACCACCTGAGCTTTCTGCATCGGAGTGACCCGACAGCAGATGACCGTTTTACACAGACAGGCCAGGTCCAGCAAGATGTGCTCCAGCTGGGGCTCCAGAGCATGAGCCTGCAGCACAAAAACATACATCACACCCTTTAAACTCACTGCATCGATCATGATGCATAGGCTCAGACAAGATCTCACAAGACGTGTAACCTCTTTGATTATGTGATGTTAACGACTCTCAGCTACTACCACACCAAATTTGAGCTCTATATCTGTAAAACTGGCTGAGTTAGACACATTTCTATTGGATGATGTAGATTAGTTTGGGCAGCCATCTTGAACTGAGGTGGCTTCAAAAGGGAGTAAGTTGGAGATCTAAGAGACCATTTCATTAAAACCGAGTTATTTTGCTAACAGAGTTGATGGTAACGGTTACTGGCAAAGTTTTAGAAACAAACAGCGCTATCAGCTTGGAGTATAGGTTGGAGATTACTCAGCTCCTAACACGCCAAACCTAAGCTAAAATAAATTTTAAAAAGTAAAAGTAGACAGAGTTAGAGCCATTTTGTAAATTCTATGGTCATTTGGCTGTGGCAGCCATGTTGACTTGGCTCTAAACGCTAAATCAGTTGTATATGTACATTTCATGGTCACTTTTTGTAGGTTTCACCGCTGGTTCATCAAATGCTTTGTTGTCACAAGAGACAAATGAACACACACAGATATGGGCAACAACATAATCGCCCTTTGGCGGCAGACGATATTAAAAACAAGGAGGAACATATTTTATTATCTTACCAGACTGTGTCCATTGATGACCAAGGCGTACTCTGCAATAACGGCTTCTTCAAACACCGAATCATCTGCAAACGTGTCGGTCTTCTCTACATCTCCTGCGCGGCTCACCCAGCTCAGACCAAGGATCTGCTCCTTAGAACTCCTGGGAACAGACGAAAACTGATAAATAAGCATTTTCTGTAAAATGTTTTTAAAATATATACAGTGAATATAAAAAGTATTCATCCCCTCGGATGTTTTACCCTTTTATTGTTGTAATAAATCAGTCGTGGTCAATATAACATTGGCCTTTTAAACAACAATAACAAAAAAAAAAATATATATATATATATATATATATATATATATATATATATATATATAAAATAACCATCTGCGGCTGTAAGTACTTTTCATATTGGCACTGTATATTTTACTAAATTACAGAAATATTCCCAAACAAATAAAAACCAGTTTAAAAAGAAGTGACATTTTAAGATATTTGGCAGATTCTTAAAAAAAAAAAGAAAAGGCGCAAGTAGACACAACAGAACCTCTTCTCGACTGGGATTTTGTTGTTAAGCAGATAAGTTTACAGTGTGTGTGTGTCTTTGTAATCTTGAAAGGCCCATTTTTCCCAGCCCATACACTGTGAGGACCCAAAGTCCGGGCCACATAAGAAGAAGTGCCATTGGTGGGTTAGGGGTTATGTTTAAGGTGTGAATTGAGGATGGGTTAGGTTTAAGGTTAATTATGTACTGGTACTGGTTATGTTTAGGATAAGGGTCAGTGTTAGGCTATAGAAATGAATGGAAGTCAGAGCAAAATTCATGTAAAGATAGAAAATAAAAGGTTGAATGAATGTAAAGATAGAAAATAAAAGGTTGAATGAATGTAAAGATAGAAAGACAAACGTGTGTGTGTGTGTGTGTGTGTGTGTGTGTGCGTGTGTGTGTGTGTGTGTGTGTGGTGAGTTACCTGAGCTGCTCCTGCACCTCCAGCAGTGTGTGTCCAGACACAACAAACACCTCGTTCATGTCGTCCCGCAGCATGTTGCAGGAGTAACCGATGCTCATCGCAGTCTCTGAAACATCAGAGGTGACAGAAGTGAAGATGAGTGAGCTGTGTATCTCATTAAAAACAGTTTAGTTGATTTTTAGTCATTACCTAGTTTGTCTCCTGTCAGGACCCAGATCTTGATGTTGGCCAGATTCAGACAGGCGATTGTCTCGGGGACTCCGTCCTGAAGTTTGTCTTCGATGGCTGTGGCTCCTAGAAGCTTCACGGAGTCCGCAGTCAGTCTGCAGCTGCTAACTGAGATCGATCACTGCTAGCATGTAACCATGCCAGGTTCTCTTTGTTTACCTTCATGCCCTGTTCGATCTCCTCGTAGAGAACAGTCAGCTGCTCATCCCGGGTCTCGATCGCAGTGCTCGCACAGTGAAGCTTCTTCATCCAGTCCTCGTAGTATTCTTCATCCATGTCTTTGCAGGCCAGTGCTAGCGTTCGAAGCCCTTCTCCTGCAAATTCCTGCATGGAAACAAACACAGCTCTGTGTTCAGCTTAAGTGAGATAAATCATTAGATAATTGAGCAGGACTCAAATATTCTGAGAATAACCAGTTATTAATAAAAATTATTAACTGAAGCAAAGCTCTGATGTATTCAGACAACACACCATATTTATCCCTTTGAGTTATTTAGTTGGACTAATAAGATACATTTATGAGCTAAAAACACAATTTACGGTAAAGAGAACTTTTAGTCCTGGTTTCCCCCTCTTCTTTTAGCGTGTTGATATAATTTTTGTACATGTTCAGGACCTGCTAACCATATAAAGACTAAAAGTCTGAATCAAAGCTGATTGCTTTCATACAGTAAACTATTTGTTTGCCTCAAAAGCCTCGTCAGTAACCAAGGATTTTCCTTTCTTCTAAAGGTACTTACCAGTATATTGTTATGTCAAACACCCTCAAGATGCCTGATTCTTAAACAAGAGCAAAAACTGAGCTTTTTGATAATAAAAAGAAATGCAATAGGGAGAAAACGTGCTTGAAAATCATGTAGATGTTTTTGGTAGATCTACTGGTATAAAAGAATATAATGTACTATGTTCAGATAAAACTTTTTACGTTTTTTGTTTGAAACCCATGCGCAGGCAGGACTCGGAGAACTCAGGATTTAAAGTAGGAATATATATTTAATAAAGAAAAACAAAAGCAGCTGTACATTAAACTTACATGGTCTTGGGGATGACACGGAGGAAGACAGAACCATAACGTCAAACAAGACGATGTCCAGACAATGAGGAACACAGAGGCGCAGACTTATATACAGACGCTAACAAACAGACAGTGACAAACACCTGGGGAAGGACAACAGGTGGCGGAGGCAGGAGCTGGTTACAAGAGGGAGAACACTGAGGAGAGCAGGACAGACCACAAGATGGAGACACACACTAGAAAACACAAATCCTCACAAAACTCACACTGAGGTGCTCGGAGGTAGCGTACATGAGGTCCTGACTGGACCGCTCCAGGCGGTCAAAGATTATTGTGTCAGCTCCTTTGCAGTACAGTTTAATGTGGCCTTGTGGGTTTTTTACTGAAGAACAAAACACAGCAAGAAAAACAAACATGAGCACAGAATAGAAACAGGAACACTTGGACAGTAAACGTATTTCAGTGAACAAGTGTTATGAAAAATGATTTATCTGGTGAAGTTTGCTTGAGTTTAGTGATTTATGTATTTTTATGTGCAGAGCGTCTTGTGGGTGAGACGGCGCAGTGCTGTGATAAGTGAGGACCTAACCAATGACACTCATTCTCTTGCGCACGTTGTTGAAGTCCAGTATGGCCAGCAGCTGGTAGGTGACGGCCCGTCCCATCTCCCACAGAGTGACAGTTTCTGGGGTTCGAGCTCGGAAGATGAACCCAAAGTTTCGTGCTGCAGTGACCAAAGCTCCCTCGTCAGGCGACTGGGCCTGGTACACCAAATTCCCTTCATTTGGAAGAACAAATGTTTAGTATATGCAAAGTTTGAGTTGTTACTGCATCAGGGACCGGGTGTACAGCTTCTACCTTCGCTCTTCTCCTCTGGCATGACGGTGTGGCACAGCGCCAGCAATCTGAAGAACTCCTGAACTGCAGGATCGTCCCGTTTGACGGCTTCAACCAGGCTGCTGTCGTAAAACTTAAACCCTCTGTCGCAGAGTGGGTTGAAGGAAAAGTCCACGCAGGCTGTTTTCTGAGGACACAGCACCAGTTTTTCTAATCACGTTCTATTTTTTTTTGTTAAAAAAATACATTTTAAATCCTACCTACCTCTGTAATTTCCACCCTCTGGTCAAACTCGTCATAGATATCACCTAAAAGGAAAAATAAAATCACTTCATCATATCGAAGACTTAAAAAATGAATTTGCTGTAATATCACGTTATTTTTTCTTTATGCATTACAGTAGGGGTGATTGATTACTGGAGTATTTTAAGCTCTGTGGGTCACTCAATATTTCTCTGATATCAAAGCATTGAAGTAAATTTAGCAAATGGTAAATTTCCGGGGTTTACGATTTCCTTTCACGTCTATTCTTTAAACTGGTTTAGCAAAGCAAGTACGAGTTGTACCGTATGTCTGTCCATTAATGGAGCACTTGCTGAACACCATGATGTTTTGTGTGAGGGTGCCGGTCTTGTCAGAGAAGATGAACTCGACCTGTCCGAGTTCCTCGTTCAGGGTGGTGGTTCGAGCTTCGGCTGGGGTGTCCGTCTGATCGTGGTACATCTTCTGGTCCCAGTTAATGAAGAAACTGTGGCCGAGCCGAAGAACCTCCACGCTGAGAGAAGACTCAGTTCATTGCATTAAATTCAGTACATCTGAATGCTGTATATTTAGGTTATATGTTTGTTTTACCTGACATAGAGTGAGATGGGTACAACCGTATTGAGGATGATGATGTAGGACCAAAAGGTGAGGAAGCCAGAGAAAACAGGGCTGCCCTGAAACTCATCCCGGGGCAAAAACACCTCAAAGTTTCTGCCGATCCAAATCTCCCACAACGTGTTTCCAATTGCCAAAAAAACTCCCATACAAATAAGGAAGGCAAAGATCTGAAACACAACAGGATGAGAAAAAAATGTTCAAAAACAGCAATGATGTTTCTTTTTCAAAATAAGAGTCATTTTTAATGCAGACATTTGGACTTGAAATAGTTGGATGAGAACAAACGTACTAATGAGTCTGACGGAAAGGGAAATGCAAGCTAAATGCAAAGCTTTGTAAATCAATTAAAGTTTATAATTGCAAAGTATTACATGATTTTTTTAAACTAAATGCTCATTTGAACTTGATACTCGTTAAAGAAATTGCCACTAATGGAATCCATGATTTTCATCAACTTACCCATAAAACCAGAGTGTTCATGAGTTTGTCGATGCTGGTCCTTTTGAACTGAGTCTTTCCACAATTCTGCATCAGTTTGGTTTGTAATCCTGTTGGATGGAGATGAAAGCAACCAGCCAGGTTTAAAAGCCATTAAAAGGTTGTTCAAGAGATGGAAAACTACAAATACTGCAAAAACATGTGGAGACTGAGAGTAAAAATACAATAGTACCAGCAAAGATGACCATCCCAAAGCACCAGTCCGTGTTTCTGAGAACACAACCACGCAGAAGCATTTGTTCATTATCCAGAGAGTATTTATTGTCCTTCCAGTGTAACGTTCCTGTAAATTTATCCAGCTTGTTGTTTGGTGGTTCGCAAATGACTTCTCCTAAAGAACGATTTTAACAGCATCAGTCCAGGACATTTTAGAAAAGAGTCTCAAATTAATCAAAGACAGAGGCGTGAAAAGACACAAATACTCTCACCATCAAAATCCATCAGTTTGGAAACGTCTCCCAAATCTGAGGTGACGCTCACAGCATGTCGGACTTTCAGGTTCGTCTCGCTGTTTGAGAGGACAAAGGACGGAGCAGATGTTAGATTTCCTGCTCATACTAACGTCTTCTTTGGCTTCAGTCAGCGTCTCCTCTCACTCACCCATCCAGCTCTGCTGTCTCAACGTAGCACAGCCCATGAGGCTCGCTGCTGCACAGGAGGAGGACGTCAGCCTGTGCGTGTGAACACGGCAACAAATCAGTACATCTCCTGCTGCTTTCATGTCTGAATGTAAAGTTATGAACGCTCTAAAATAAAAATAAAAAACACTGAAAAAAATGAAACACCAGAAAATCCCTAATAACTGGTATACTGGTAATTTACTCACAGCGACAAACTGATTGTTCTCTAGTTTGATGATGTCCCCCACTCGAACGTTCATCCATTTCTCATTCTGTAAACTTGGAAACAACAGAGAATATTTGTTGATTTACGTAATGTTAAATGAAACATTAAAAAATTTAAAATAAGTACCTTCCCCTGACGAACACCTGCGACTGCCGGTTATTGACTTGCTGGTCGCTCCTATGTCGGAACTGCAATTTTGAAAAAAAGAAGGTAACGTTTTATAGGTGAAGCTAAATATTTTTAAATAAATTAGAGCTAAGAAAAATAGAACTAACATAATCATCTGTGGCATCCTTCACAGCTGTGATTACCAGCACCAGAACTAAAGGCACAATGGTCGTGAACCAGGACAGGGAGGAGATTTCTGGAATTAACTGTTAAAATGTAAAAAATGCATTATTTGACCTCAACTCCAAGAGGTTGAGATTAATTAATCTGAACGGTAGTAGTTTTGTCCTACCTGCAGTATCAACAGAACTACAAAATAAGCATTCGCCACCCTCTGGAACTGCTCGAACAAGTTGACGGGCAGGAAGGTGAAGACGTTGTACTTTGACGTTTTGATGTGGTTGTCCTGAAGAACAGCACAGCTGGTGAAACACTACAGATTAATCCTGTGGGTAGAGCCCAACTCATGCTGCGTTTAAGGTCTACTTACAGCATACGAGAACTTGCCGTTGTATTCTGGGGCATTGGCTTTCACGCGGCGTTCCTTCTCTGCAGTCACAAACATGGAAATTTTATATGAACATAGCTCATCAGACTTTGTTAAAAGATGATGAGCAATTATGTCATTTCCACACCATTCCTCCTCTCTGAGTACTGGGTGCAAAGTTTGTCCACGTTAAAGTTAAAGTTAAAAAACAGCATAGCTAATAGGATCATTCAGGAGCTCAAACTCCTCCACCACAATAAGGTGGCAATTCGTGGAGGAGTAAATCTAAATCCAAAATCTCTCCATCTAAAATTACAGCATGTGTGGTGAAAACAGAGTTATGTGTTCAGAGCTCATTGTACACTCTATGGCAGAAAAACTGGCAATGGACATTTGTGAACAAAATCCAGCAACAAGAAACTTTGTTGCTCAGAAAGTTACCATTCTTATAAAACCAAAGTGCAATTCCTGTCTCCAAAGGTTCATAATTAAAAAAAAAAATTGAAATAAAATTAAGATCCTTTGAATTGAGTACCCCTAAATATACTTAAGTTTTTAACATATATTATAATTTTCTGTGATTCTTCCACACATATTCAACTGGTAATCCCTTGATTATGTCAGATGATCAGGGGATGGGTCAGCAACAGTGACTCTATACTGCAGGACTGTTTTGCATGTACAGACTGGCAGGTCTTCAGGGAGGCTGCTGTGAATGAGGGAGAACTGGATCTGGAGGAGTACACATCAATGGGATTAACCTGTATAAATAAAGGTTGAATTAATGAATTTGCTGTCCTTGAATGCATCAGCAAGTGTGTTGATGATGTCACCACCACCAGGACTATGAAGTGCTACCCAAACCAGAAACCCTGGCTGACTGTGGAGGTCCGTATCCTAAGGAAAGCCAGGGACACTGCCTTCAGGTCTGGCAACTCCCAGGAACTGGGAAGGACAAGGAAAGAGCTGGCTACTGATATAAAGAGGGCCAAAGCAACATATGCACAGAAGATCCAAGGTCATTTCTCCTCACAAGATCCACAAAGTATGTGGAAGGGCATTAAGTGCATAACGGACTATAAAAGCAGAGGTGCACAATGCCCTAGGGACCCATCACTGCCTGATGCTCGCACCATGCTCTATGCATGCTCTGAAGACCCGAACTGACCACCTAGCACTAGACTCACTTCACCACTGGAAGAGGAGTTCCTCAGCATGACCTCAGCTGAAGTAAGGAGTACCTTCAGGAGGATTAATCCTCACAAAGCAACTGGCCCAGACAACATCCAGGGGAAGGTGCTGAAAGACTGTGCCGATCAGCTCTGTGAGGTGCTGGCCGACATCTTTTAATTCTTCCCTCACCCTGGCAACTGTTTCCACCTGCCTGAAGACTGCCACCATCATCCCACCTCCTAAAAGCTCTGCAACTACTGGTCTGAATGACTATAGGCCAGTAGCACTCACCCAAATAATCATTAAATGTTTCGAAAGACTGGTCATGACCCACATCAAAGCTACCATCGACATCAGCGAGGACCCACAACAGTATGCATACCACAAGAATCGATCAACAGAGGATGCCATCTTCTCTGTGGTCCACACTGCTCTCACCCACCTGGAGCAGAAGGACTCCTGCTACGTCTGTATGCTCTTTGTGGACTTCACATCTGCCTTCAACACCATGATTCCCCAGATCCAGATGGACAAACTACTCACACTAGGACTAAGTCCCTCCATATGTACAGTAACTGGGTCCTGGACTTCTTAACAAACAGACCACAGTCTGTGAGGATCCACAACATCTCCTCCTCCACCATAACCCTCAGCACTGGCTCCCCTCATGGCTGTGTGTTGAGCCCCCTCCTGTTGACTCTGCTCATATATGACTGCGCACCTACCCGTCCAGGCTGTCATATTGTAAATTTGCAGATGATACAGCGGTGGTGGAATGCATCACAAATAATGATGAGTCCATCTACAGGAAGGAGGTGGAACACCCTGAGAGCTGGCGCAGGAAAACAACTTTCACATCATTGTGAAGAAAACGAAAGAGATGGTCATGGATTTCAGACATCTGCGGTGAAAATGGTCTCCAGTTACAAATACTTGGGTGTACACCTGAATAACAACCTCAACTGGGGCAACAACACCACCAGCCTGATGAAGAAAGCTCATCAGAGACTCTACTTCCTCAGGCGGCTGAGACGAGCTGGTCTGGGAAGTCCTCACCTCCTTCCACAGGTGTGCAGTGGAGAGCATCCTGTGCTCCAGCATCAACGTGTGGCATGGAGGCTGCACAGCTGCAGAAAGAAAAGCTCTGCAGAGAGTGGTGAAGGCTGCACAGAAGATGTTGGAGTCAGTCTCTCCACCATCACAGACATTTACACCTCCAGATGCAGGAAGAGGGCCACCTGCATCATGAAGGACCCCACTCACCCAGCACTCACACTTTTTGCCCCACTCCCCTCAGGAAGGAGGTTGAGGAGCATTAAATGCAGAACCACTGGACTGAGGAACAGCTTCTACCATGAGGCTGTTAGACTCATGAATCTCTAACCAGGATAATCACTGTGAAAGAAAAAAATCACTGTAATGCCACTTTGATTGTTGTTGATCTCATGCTGCTGATTTATTTCATGCTGATGTGTTCATTTGTACGCACATGCTCACAAAGACTCATGTTCGTTCTGCTGTATTGTTTTGCACTTTTAATTGCTTAGCGTACTTCTTAGATTAGTGTATTTCTTAGTTTATATCTTGGATCTTATTGCTGTTTTTCTTTACAATTTATCTTTTTGCTACAGTTGGATGTAACTGGGACCCTGTGCAAACAATTTTGTTCCACCTCATGTCACATGTGATGCGAATGACAATAAACAACCTTGAACTTGACGATCAGTCTGTGTGAACATGAACAAGCACAACCACGGTGGTTTCTTGGTAACTAAAAAAATAAACCCACCTTGCTGGCTGAGTCTAATTCCTACATCGGGTGAATACCGTACTTTGTTTCGTCCTGCTCCGTTTACCTCACTACCAGTGATGACATTCGTACTCTGATGTGGCGTGTTGGGGTCTTATCATGCTTGGTCTTGCTCTCTAACGTCACACCAGGAAATCCACTCACTCATAAACACAAACCACACCAGCCGCAACTTCAGAGACCAATGAACCTTATAACCGTATCAGCCCCTGAGCAAACACAGAGAACACATCTGTCGTGGCCAAACCAGGTTAAATGGTTGCTGAATTATGCATAAAACACCTGCAGCAGACAGCAGAGGGACCGATGAGCTCACACTTCAGCTGAGATCATACAGCTATCAGTTACTACAAGCATGAATTATTGAAAACGGTGTTCTGCCCCGCAAGATGTGGAAATGCTGCTACCCTCACTGAGTTTTATTTTATTTTTTGCTTCTCTTTTCTCAAGAAACTCAGCTCACGTTTAGGTAGGGCTGCAAGTTCAAACAGCTCACGATGAAGTGATTCAGAAGCGCTTCAGGGTGCGTTTGGGACTAAATTCCTCCTGAGTTTCTGCTTGAAACTGGAAGCATTTAAGTGGTTGTTCATTGCAAGCAGATTTAAGACTTTTTCTAATCCAAAGGATGACAACACAAATAGCAAATTGCCAAGAAACACAAAAACGTGATAAAACATGAAGAGACACTAAAGTATAAAAGTATATTTCTTCTTCCACACCTTAAAGTAGAGGGGTTGTTTGTGGTGGATGGTCAGTACATTTTAGCATAATTTATTATACCTTATTCAATCTTATTTTCATGATTAAACAAACAAGTAAACGTCTTACCAACATAAGGATTTCTCCTCCAGATTGACATCTTTTCCTGGGACCTTCCCAGAGTTTCCGTGACAGACACACACACCTGTGAAACAATTTTATTTAAACAGAATCACAAAGTGCTTTTCTTGTTTTTGGAGGGGTTTTGTTTAGCCCAAGAAAATAAAACTTAAAACCGCTGATGTCAGAAGCAGAAGATGCAAAGCTCCCAGGTGAGCCCAAACAAGGTGTTTCCATGGTTTCTAAAGACACACGGGCTTTCTGTTCTCTTTGTTTTAGTGTGTAATAAAAGCAGATGTGTCCTCCAGTTGTCTCACCTGACACAGGTTTGTCCCAGTCTTCTTGAGCTGTCTCCATGAATCCTCTGAAGACACCCCCACCCTTTATTCCCAGAGCCACATTCCAAGCATTTCTTCACCCCGAACCTTCCTCAGAAAGACAACCAGCAGGTTCTGGACGACCAGGACCGGGTTGGTGGAGTCATGAGAGTCAGCAGAGGCTGAGGATCAGTCCCCCACCGCCACCCAGAGAGAGGACGGTGTGTCTGAGGCACGAGCTGGAGGGTGGTGCGCGTGAGCGACCGCACACGAGCTGCAAGCAGCATCTCTGTGGAACTGCTGATGAAACTGCATTTCCTGCGAAAACGCAGTGTGAATGCTTAATGCTGAAGAACTTGCAGAGAAACAAACAGCCGAAATTAACAACAACAACAAAAAAAAAATGCTGAAATGTAGTTTAAATGGAAGAACAAGCCTAAATTAGCCGAAGAAAGCAGGAAGAACACATAGTTGCTGAAATAGACTTAAATAAGCAGAAATTTGCACAAAAATTAGGAAAGTAGTTAAAAATAAATAAAGCTGAAAATAGATAAAGTGGCTGAAAAGCAGAAATAAGCTTAAACTACCAGAAGAAAGTGGAAAGAGCTGAAATGAGCTGAAAAATGTGGGATTGGCTGAAAAAGGTAAAATTAGCAGAAAACAGCAGTAGCTGAAATAGCAGAAATGTCTGAAACTAGCATAATTAAGCTGAAAGGAACATAAACAGCTAACATTAGCATTAAGAAGTTAATTATGTTGAAAGTAGCAGACTATATGAAAAACTTGAATTTTTCTGAAAACAGATGAAATTAGTTAAAAATGCTTAAAAAAAAGGGGGGGGGGGGGTGTAGCTGAAAAGGTACATCAAGCTGAAATTAGCAGAAGGAAGTGGAGTGAGCACATTTCTGATGATGAGGCTGCAAAAAGTTGAAATGAGTGCAAAAAATGTGGAATTAGCT